CACTATACTTTATCTCTGTGTCTGATTAAAAACGGGCAGAATGCTAGATCTAATGAGCCGTAACTGATGAAAATAACGTAACTTCCAGGCAAATATTGCGCTACAAACATCAATAACAGATGTCAAGTTGTCAAATCTGGCAAATGGCCATGGTGTAAGCGGGATAATCCATGGCCAGCTGTGCATTAAATGATTTTAATACACAGCTGGCTATGGATTATCCCTTACTTATTACACTGCTCTTTGGAATATTTTATTCTGATCGGTCAATCGAGCCATCCAGCAGTATGTTATCCTCCGATAATAACCGGTAAAAACTGATCATCTGGCTCAACTGTCACTGAGGTCGGCGCTTTACGCTTGCTAGGAATGTTTTTTCCTTGTGGAAGTTTGCGTTTGGTGAGCTAATAAAATATTAAAACTCAAATCAATATTTTGTGTGCAGTTATTTAATTATGTCATCCGGTACCGCGGACTCGCTCTCTCTTGTTTCATACAAACGTAGCTGCTGCCATTTTGCGACGATTGTTTTGAACACTATAATGGATAAAAAAATAAAAAACAGATACAATTTTAAAACAGAGTCATCTCAAATCAATATCTCTTATCCCCATAATTATTTATGTCGCTTGCTAGCAATTGCTCTCATGAGCTTTGTAATAAAATATTTCGACTTAAAGATCAATATTTCATGTCTAATTATTAATTATTGTAATAAGCAGAATAATGTACAGCCAACTGGTTGTTATTGCAGAATAAACCTCCTCAGACTGATTACCTCCTCAGCAAGATCACTCTGTCAGGGTTTATTCTGTGATAACAAGAGGCTGGATGTACATTATCCCTTACATAAACCCTTTATAGCCTTAAGGTAGCCTAACAATTGCATCATTTCACTTTTTACAGTATTTGAATGGTCACACTTTAGATTAGAGACGAATTCTCGCTATTAAGGGGTACGGTACAGTCATTATTACATGGTATTTAAATAATTATGGGGATAAGAGATATCGATTTGAGATGAAACTGTTTTAACTAACTATTAACTATGACTTTTGCCTCAGTAAACTCCTAATTACTGCTTATTAATAGTTAGTAGGGGAGTTATTAAGTTTAGGTATTGGGTAAGATTAAGGGAAGTAAAATATGGTCATGCAGAACAAGACATTAAAATGTGTTTTATAAGTAATAATAATCAGGAAATATCCTAGCTATATGCATGCTAATAAGCAACTAGTTACAGTAATAGTGAGAATTGGACCCTAAACTAAAGTGTTTTAAACTTTTATTGTAGAATTGTTTACTTATAATGTAGAATTTTAAAGAAGCAGCCATAATGCTCACTTAGGATGGAGGCCTGAGAACAAGCAGTTGTGACTTTTGTATGTCAATCAAACTGTTTGGTCAGAGATTTTGGGGTTGGTCAGGGCAAGGCTGAGGGTTCAGATGTGATCTCACACATGGGCATCGACCATGAAGGGTGGCACAGTGTTATCTTTTCAACATGTTTCGGGAGGTGTAGACGGCATTTAGCATGCTTTTGCATACTCTGCATTTGAACATGGATTTGGGGTGTGATTTAAGTAGAACGCTGCTCCCAAGAGTTATGCATGTCTATGAGTCACACTTCTGTTTTTGTTTTTCCGTTTTTTCAGGTGAAGGGCCTTATTCTCAATTCTCTTTAAACATAATTTTTTTTTTGTTTATGTTTCACTGGCTCTTCTTCATCCCGATGTTATGGTGACACAAAACTCTTTTGTTTTCTTCTTTTTTTTGTATGTTTCTCTCAGGCTCATATTTCTTATATTAATACGAGCAAAATATTGATGTTTTTTGGATGCAACCCTAGCTAATTTCCACATATTCTTTGAGGTGCGTGTTGTAGTGGACCGGCTCCTGCATGGCACTGTGTGCTTCTCTTCCTGCTGGAGAGATATTTTGTTTTTCAGTGACTGTGGGCATCATAAGTCAGTTTTCGGTCGTCTGCGGTATATTATCTTATAAAACTCTCATTAAACTGGAGTGGATCTAAGATAGGGATATCAGATTCTGAAGAATAAATGTATAAATATTAATATTTATTGCACTATTTAGAGCTCACCAAAGATATTTAAATATTAATGTGTTGGTGTTTAAAATATTGAATATATGGGGCTGTCAGAATTTTTTTTTTTTTTTTGATGCAATGATATAATGAGATAATTATTTTTTGCAAAGGTCCCTTTAGGGCTCCGTAAATATAAAATATTATATTATATTGCTTTTTTGAAGGCAAAAAATACTGAGTGCACTTTTAATATGTTATGCAATCGCACCCATTCACCAGACACTAGAAACACACCTTATATTTAAATCCCCATGGATAATTCCCAAAAACACTGGTTCCAAGATGCTATAGTGCAGATCATGAGCTGTTCAGCTTGGCATGTCTGGATCCATGTCTCTGCATGCCTGGAGATGTGGATTACATTTTGCATAATAAGACTGGTATTTTAGAAATATGTCTGTGGGTTTAGTGGACATGCAGGACTTATTTTTGGCAAGACCTCTGTTACTTTGTGTCCTGCAGACACACCTTTCTTATCATTGTTCTATCAATAACACAATGTTCCTTCCTCAAGACATCAAAACTTTTGACCATAACACAAATACGTCAGTATTTAGTCTGCAAGAAGTGTGAAATATGAAATATTATACCATATAAGGAGGAGAGAAAGGAATAATCTTATCCATAAGACACCAGAGTGCCAATTTTGGAAAATTGCTGGGAGCACAAGGAAACTAAGTCTATCCCATAGCAGAGAGCGGTCCAACACCAAAGAGAATTGCCTTTCCTGTCATGGAATACAAGAATGGGTCGGTGTACAGACTGACAATGGCTATTTGATCATAATAAAACAGCAGACTGTTGAATTCTGTGTATTTAGTAACTGAGACTGTGAAGTGTCATTGGGCCAGAGGTCCCATGAAGACTGCTCCTGTTTACATCCCGACACCAGGCTCATAAAGAAAAACTAATTATGTAGACTGTAACCTTTCACTGCCACGTATAAAACTGAGGACACCCCGATAAAGAAGATTAAACATTAACTGGAACACAGGAATCTTGTTTCAGAGGCGTACCAGTAAAGTATAAGGTATATTGTCCCGTCGTAAAACAGATTAGATGCTGAGCAAGAACTTTATCGCATTAAGAGAAGAACAGCCATAAATACGATTCCCACTGAAGAATCTTTTTATATTGCATGCTATGTTAATATTTATTGCAACAAATGTTGAGCTCATCAAGGACATTTAAATGTTTGGTTTGTTTTTGTTATAAATATTGGATTTTTTTTTTTTTTTTAAAACAATGCAATTTTGTTGGGTTTTGTGATTAATTATTCTACATATCAATTGAACGAATTAAAAACTTTAGTCAATTGACGGCCTTACTTTTCATAATGTGTATTTGTTATCTTAAATGCAACAGTTTTTGATATTTTTTACATGAAATATGTCTCATTTTTATGTCATGCCATACTCCTTTCATTATTCAGATTGTAATCTTTTCATTTACAATAGCTGTTTCAAATATGAATTGTATATCCCAGAGTAAAAATTATTTGCTGACTTGTTAATATATTTATGGTATTAACCAATTTTACTATTACTATTTGAGCAGGTGTAAAGTGTTGCACTGTCTGAGAAATAAATAGTAGACAGTATGACAGGCTAGCTATAAACATTTAATCTATATCTCTGCTAGATTGACATTAAATATTTCCAAAGTCTGGAAATGTCAATTAAATACAGTTCAATCTTTTTGTAATTACCTGGCTTCAACTGATCATTTTTTCCATAGGCCTCATCTGTAATTCTCCCGCAGACTAAACATTTCAACCACTATCAGATTTTAACAAACTATCCTGATGCCCAAATGTTTATTTTCAGTTTGGATAGCAAGGTTTCATGGGAAAATGTGCTGTGAGCTTGATCCTGATTAGACACTTTTGCCAAATACCTGCTCTGGAAGGCTTGCAATCTGTTTTTGACACTTTAATACGCTGTAGTACACCACATCGGCTTGTTCCAAAATTCAATATCATGTATACAGCTGTCAGACATTAGATTAAAGCAAATGGTAAAGGTTTATGAGATTTCATTGCATCCAGGGTTGTTTTGGAAACTCCTTTGACCATTCAATTTGACAAACATGCATATTACCTGGAGAGGAATTTGTTTTGCTGCATACTTTAGCTATGGGGTGAAAGACTATGCCAGAACGGTATGTAAATTGCCCATAGTTTGTAAATGAATGGGTGTTTTGCAAATCGGACTGGTTGGGGGGGGGGAATCCACATGCACTTTCTACACAAATTAAATTCAGCGTGTGTAGAATATTTGCACGAAATCATTGCATGAACCTAATGAGTTGCAATGAATGGGGAGTGAGATTTAAGAAGTGAGAACTGCTGTAAGGTGGACTGACTCAAGATCCTCTTAAGTTGCATGCGCAAAGGCATGTTCTTCATACCAATCTACGCATTCCTGGAACCCTGCTGAGAACTTGAGCCACCCTGTTCTTAAACAACACAGTTGAGCATGGTCTTTAATCACGAGTTTATCAGGAAGTGTAAATAACTAGTAGTGTTCAGTGTTTGAATTGAGATTGTGAAACATGTATTGGTGTTGGCTGGTGGTTGACAATTAATAAGTGATGAATTAGTAGACCCAAACCAATGAAAATGAGCTTGAGACTGATTTGGTTTAAGCAAAACGATAGTGTTACCAAAAACAAATCACTTAACACTATACTTATGAATAACCAGTTAGCCTGGAGGAGGCCAGAATTAAATAAGTGAAAACCGCAGAATGTTGTTGTCATCAAACTAAAACATCCTGACATTGGTCATTAACCAGCAATCAAAGCTCTGGCAAAGACTTTTACGGTTTTTATGACCTGATCTAGATGTGTGTGCCAGAGCAGGTGTGTGATGCATGTGAGTTTATTCACATACCTGTGGAAGAACAACAGAATGGACAGCATGGTTTGGTCGATGTTGCTGTTGCAGATGCCCTCGTTGAGCAGGTAACAGGGGTCCCGGACCACCGACTCCAGTGAGTCCTGTCTCATGATGTTGTTGAGCTTATCTGTGTTTAGGTTCTGAAAGTGAAGCTGGTCCCGGAGCTGTTTGAAGTGGTTGACTGATGTTGGACTGCCCAGGCTCGCTTGGCCCGGCTCAGGCTCGCAGCCATTGGCCAGATCCAGACAGCAGCTGCAGCAGTCCAGGCCGATGGGCGAACGGCACTCCTCGTTTGACATCAGGCGGGTCAGGTTCCCCACGAGGGAGTCAGACGGTAGCCGTGACAGGTTCTCCTCCACCTGCTCCAGGTGATCTTAGAGCAGACCTCCCTCCTTCTCACGCAAGTCTATACCAGGTGCCACGGGAGAAGCTGCTGTGAGTTGATCCTTCTCGACAGCGAGTGCCAGAGTGTGTGTGTGTGTGTGCACACAACGCAGGTTTTTATGAGCTGGGGCGCCTGTTCGCTCGTAATGATGCAGCGGGAAGGCGTTTGGAAAAAAACAAAAACAGAAGCTGCTTCTGTTTTTTGTTTTTTTTTGTTTTTTGTTTTGTTTTTTCTTCTCGGTGTCCCCTGCCCTGCACTTTTCTCTGCCCCTGTGCGTGCATACAGTGCAGACAGCGAGAGAAGAGGAGGAGGGATGGAGGAAAGGGCTGGAAGGGAGGGAGGAGGAATCTTTCTGATTGGTAAAGCAGGCCGATCAGTTCACAAAAAGATCCCGCCTACTTTCCCCTCAACATCGCAATCGGGGAGGAGCGAAGCTAGGAAGGGAGTAAAAGCATGCTCTTTAACATGTGCACTTCAGTGCTGCCAGGGGCGGGACCCTGAGAGAGAGAGCAAACATGTAGTACTTCCCTGTTCATATCACTGAATCAATCACTGGTTTGGTCTCACTTTCCTAAGGCTATTGAATTTAGGCTCGACTTTGCGTGCTGGCAGTACAAATACTGCTTGTGTGCAGTGTTCCTTGTCCAATGATTCATCACTAAAATGTTTTTACTTTTTCCCCTTTCCTTTTAAAGAGAGAATTTGGCTCAAGTATCAGTATCTATAAAATGTCACTTAATCAGACGTTAATTCGTTTGAAGACCGTATTATGCTGCATTCCATTTACCTGGGAAGAGGATTGTATGCGCTGGGAATGACTTCACACCCGAGGTGACAGCGTTCCAGTAAACAGAAAACTAAGATGGACACGTCCAGGCAAACCTTTGTTGTGCTTGCTCTTTCAGAATACAAACACATAAAAAAGCGGTATTTTGCACAGATAATGCCGAAGTATCATGTCCAGAAATAGAGGTTGAATAGTACTGTGTGACCACTGTGTTTATTGAGAGACAGACAAACAAAAGTGATTTTACTACTATGGTTGATGCACTGAGCAGCCATGTTGGATTCTGAAGCCAGGGTTGTTGCGTGTTTCCCAGACACAAAATCTTACTCGAGAGGGTGTTTCAGTTAAAGTTCCTACTGGGGCCTAGGAATTTGCCCCATCTGAGGACAACTGGAACGCACCATTATTCCAAACATACCAAACAATTGCTCTGGCATCATTAGTTAAAAGTTAAAGGTCAGTAATCCAATATATTTTGTCTATTAGATTTGTATTTCAGTGAGAGATTTTGACGTTGATCTGTTTACCTGAAGTAAATAGGATTCCTATCATATTGCTTAACATGATAAAGTAGAAATGCTGACATGAACGCAACACAGTGTGCTCTAAAAATCATTCAGTTGTCAGTAAATTCTCAGAACACCTTCTAATGATCCATTTCTGAGAGAATGTTTGAAATTTGTAAAATATGATTTCACCGCATTTCTTGGCTGGACTTTCCATTGAAATTCAGTCGAGACCAAATATTTTTGTTGTTGGGGCCAGTCTGATGATTCTTGTGTATTATATGATGTTTTAATTATGCACTTGTGTTATGTGTGTGTAGTGCTCATCAATTCAATGCATTGTGCTCCTTTAATAACATGTTAAATGCCTCTTTGGATCATCTCTTGAAATGTCATTTATTGTGTAATAAGACTTACCAAAAGCCCCTTAATAGGAGTGCGAGAAATTTAATTTAGCAGAGAATAGGTGAATTATGATTGCTTTATTGAGTGTGTAAAGTGTTTGAGACACGTTAGGAGGACCATTTAAGGACTTTGCCAGCCTGGGGTCATATCAGTTAATTATTTGGCCCTCTGCTGGCAGGAGCAGTGAAATGCAGATAATAACAGATGAAGAATTGACCGTGGGATATGAAATGGTTCCATTCTATGCTCAGTAAGCTTTCTGAGTCCAAGTGTTTAGGTTTTGTAACACAATCTGAGAACAAAAAAACATCAAATGTGTCATAAGACAGATAGCAAACAAACGGTTTATTGTGTAGGCTTGGTGAATGCAATCTGTCATCAGAGAACACTAGACTGTTTACCGTACTGCAAAAACAGATGCACTGTCAGATAATAAAAAGGCTGACCTTGCATTTAGCATTCTGTTTTATCCTATTCATCCCAGAAACTTGCTCTATATATTAAAAGGCAGCACAACAGCACAATTAATTAATTGCACAAAAAAAAATATATTATATAATATACAGTGTGTATATACTGTGTGTGTGTCTGTATCACATATTTTTTGTGTATAGATCACAAAAAGAATAAGCAGCAAAAAACTATTTTCATTTTTGATAATAAGAACCATTATTAATAATTGAGCAGAAATAATATTTGATTGATAATAATTTAGCAGCAGCATATCAACATATTAGAATGATTTCTGAAGGATCACTAGACGCTGAAGACTAGAGTAATGATGCTAAAAATTCACATTTTTGCCATTTACTGGAATATGAAGAATACAAATGGTGGGAAAGGATTATACATACAGCAACAGCATTAACATATGATGGAAAATGTTTCACTGTGGGTTAAGTTGGGCTGGCAAAGGTCCCATGCTGTTTACCCAGTCCCAGTATTCCCAATCCTTCCCTGCTGTACTGTTACACTGAGCCGGGGTTGAATAAAAAGGCCATATAATGCTCTCTTATGAATGCTAAAGCTGTAAATTGATTCTTTGATTGAACCACTTAAACAACAGTCACTGCTGTCCAGGCAATGATGCGGGGTTGTGCTTGGAAAACAGGCCTTTGCATGTTATTATTGGTTAATTTTCATTATCATTGATGATAATTAAATCATTCAAATGGGAGGGATTCCAAAGAACTCTGTAAGTCATGCAACTGTCTCGTCACAGCTACATGTTTAAGTAAAAAAAAAAGTGTGCTTCGTACCAATCTTACATTGATCAATCCAAACACACAATAGAGGTTAGCACTGCTAACTTAGCAGTCAACTACTCTTACTATCACAATAGTAATACTACTTATCACCATAGTCCACTCTAGTCCACACATAGTCCACTCTTCTAAAATGTCCAAATTATTTGTTTTTCAGCTCGTGAATGCCACATGATTCGTCAATAAGTTCTAAAGTGACTGATATCAGTTTGCCTGTTATCTACTGCAGAGACAGTACAAAAACATACAGTGCCCGTCCTGAATGCCAATGGGTCAATACAGCGTTCCAACTGTGCTAAAATACACAAAACACCCGTTCACCTGCCAGGCCTGCCAGGGACTATATAATTTAGAAGAATTACTAATAAAATATACTTCAATGAAAATTGGCATCCTTATTATTTTTTTTTATATTGTAACCATTTTTAAAGCAACAAGGCACACACACACAAAAAAATACATTTCTTAATCAGTATTTTGTCATGTTTTCCTGTAAAAATACCTAAATATCCTTAAAACAAGATAAATTTCCCTGAAAAGTTGCTTTACTTGTGTTTAGATAGTATATCTTGAACTGTTTATTTTTGTAACCCTATTGGCAAATTGATTTATTTATTTTCTTGTTGAAAATCTATTCAAATTCAGATGCTTACAACAAGAGTGTTTTACCAATAAGCTAATAAAAATATTTCAAGATGTATTAAATACTCATGTTCATAATAAAGCACTACCACTCATCCAGTATTGTGTAAAAAATTAGGAAGTCTGTTAAGACATTAATAATTAATGCATTAATAATGCTTAAAACTTTGTTTTGTTTTCTTCTGTGGGATTTAAGCTGGAAGCTCCGGTGTAGAGTTTTGCTGCCACCTTTTGGAATGAATGTTTAGTTACATTTAAGGTTAATTAACCCATTTATACAAATATTTCTGTGTGTATAATTTTAAGACATGGACTGAAAGAGTCAGGACAGAAATGGCAAGGATCCCTGTACAAAATGTATTCATCACATGCAGTCAAAGTCCCTATGACAGCATTTGATATCAGATGTCCCTGTTCATAGTTCAGAGTGTGTATAACAGAGCCAAGTGCATGTCCTGGTAAACCTTATGTTAGGGACAAAATGTCACCAAATATGTCAATAGGCCTATCTGAAATCCATATCCTGGTGGGACATTTTTTGCTCCCCTGGAGGAAAACTTATAAATCATACTAAATGATGTGTTTTTGAAATGTAAAAATGGAGACAGTTTTCTGTAATGGGTAGGTTTAGGGGAAGTGTTAGTGTAGGGGGACCGAATGTACAGTTTGTACAGTAAATTATGCATATGAAATGTCCCTATAAAACTCATGGAAACCCAACGCGCGTGTGTGTGTGTGTGTGTGTGTGTGTGTGTGTGTGTGTGTGTGTGTGTGTGTGTGTGTGTGTGTGTGTGTGTGTGTGTGTGTGTGTGTGTGTGTGCGTGTGTGCGTGCGTAAGAATATATTTTAACTCAGGTAATTATAGCTGTATGCTTAACCCTTTAGGCGCCAGAGGTTTTTTCCTAAAACGTTCGATTTTGACATCTTAATTTCAAAAGGCTATATCTTAAAAGTGAAAAAAGATAGAGACTTTCTGTAAATTAGAGAAATATTAAGGATGACCCAAAGTGTATGTAGGGATTACATTTTCCCATCTAATTTGCATATTATGACGTCATATGGTGGTGGCAATCTTGGATTATAGAATTTTCATGAAAAGTCACGTTTAAATGATAAAATGCAGCACTTCTTTCCCCCCAAAATGTCCATCACCTTCTGTATGCTATATTGCACAATACTGAATGCTCAGGTATATAGTAAGTAGTAAACAAACTGTGTAAATCATTACTAATAAATGGTAGAAACAAACCGAATGCATGTAGTGATTGGCCTTTTGCTGTAGAGATTTTCCATTTACTAAATACAGTAGGCACTCTGATTCCATGTATGGGGCAAATATATTTTATTCATATGACATACAAACACAAGTAGACAAGACCTGTTTAGTTCAAACACTCACTCGCACAGATCACGAGTGACATGATACGAGCAGCGCGGCCAGATCTGCCTCGCGCGCGCGCCGAGTGTGCACAGCTCGGACTACTGT